CCATGGTCACGTGGCCGACATGACTAGACGCCGAGGGCCACAGAATGCTGTTCCCTTCCCACTGAAGCGGTGCCTATTTATCTACCTGCAATTTCTTGCTTTTGAACTGCTAGGTTGGCAAGAGCTGGGGCCCGAGACAGGAGCTCACTCCCGTCACGCGGCACTCAGGTCTCGAACTGCTGAACTACAGACCCTTCAGTCTGCAGCTTCAGCATCTTAACCTCTGAGCCGCGGAGGCTCCTTCTAGGGAGACGTTTGTCAGCTTAAAAGTCAGGCTAAACTGCCAAGTGAGAAGAGCACTGAAACGCTCAGTACCAGTGTCCACTCTTTTGAGAAATTCTTTGGTAGTCTGAGTTTGTGTTACAGCACGGAGTGTCAGCTCGCTGCCATGCTTTCATTGTTTTCGTTCATCCTTTGCTTAACTATCGGGAGGCACTCAAGAGACCGTGCAAACTGGCTCTGCCAGAGGGTGTTCTCTCTGTAACCTTGAGGAGGAGGGGGAGCTTGCATTCCACCGCTGGTGTGACTATTTCTGCTCTCATGGAGCGAGGAGAGTCTCCCGTTCATGATGTAATGTCCCGCCGGGAGAAGGATTTCATTTGCTTAGCCAACTGCCGCATCAGAGTATATGTACTGATGCATCTGCTCTAACCGTTATTCCTAACAATGTACTTGTATAACCTGGCAACAGACTTGTATTCTAATAAAGCATAACTTTTCCCTGAGAAGTATGTGGAGACTTGCATGCTGCGCTGAACCTCACGCAGAGCAACCCTCCATAAGACATGTTTCAGTTTTAAGGCGCAACGTGGTTATGATGATAAAAGAGTTCGTTCTTTTTGAAATTCCTTTATTTGGAAGAAGCAAGAAGAGCAATGGCTGGACCCCGTCAGAAGTGCACACTACCGGCCCATCTCCAGTCACTCTCCCCTTTCTGGAGGAGAGCAAGAAAACAACTATTTCGGTATTCGGCTCACTGTGCCACGATAGTCCGGGCGCACTGTGCCACGAGCACGCGCTGCATTTTGACAAAAGGTATATGAAACAAGTAGGAAGAACACCAAAACGTCACTAAATCAAAGTCACCGGCACGAGGAAGGTAAGTTGCAGCAGCAATTTTGCGGCTACGCCCACCACCCCGTGTCCGAATCCCAAAAGTGCCCATGGACTCGAAAAGGTTGGAGGAGGACCCCTGGCTTAGAGTCTTCCTTCCAGCCCAGTAATATGTTTTCAAAGCATCTCTCGACTCCCACTCGGACGGACGAGACGCTAGAAAGATGGCCAGAACGTTGGCACCGACAGAAAGAAATGGAACTGCCGCGTTTGCAGACTTTCTTCCTCTGCGTTCGTCCGAGTCCTGTGAGCTGGAATTTCCCGCAAAATATTCACAAAGGAGACTTCATCAAAGTGAAATGTGTATGTTGTCTAAATCTATCCATCTAACCCATCATAGGAAAATGAAGAAGCCAAAGAATAAATATACAAGATAAATATCCAAAAAGTCTAAGTATCCGAAAAGTCCAACACTTTTCCTAGGTAATTTTTCCAGTGTTTCAGACTTCTGGTCCTGAATCACTGAAGCAGCCTTTAGGGGTGCAGATTAGAGCTAAGGAGACCTGACCCAATGTTGAAGTAAGAGAAAAGCATTCTCTTAAGAGAAAAGCATTCTCTTAAAAGGAGACGGCATGAGACTCTCAGTAGTCATTCCTTGTTCCGGAGGAAGGAACAGAAGTCTGAAACGCTGGGGAAATTGCCTAGGAAAAGTGTTGGACTTTTCGGATATTTATCTTCTATATTTATTCTTTGGCTTCTGCATTTTCCTATGATTATATTGATAGATTCAGACAACAGATGCATCATCATCATCATCATCATCATCATCATTTCGTTTTGACAAAGTCTTCTTTGTCAATTTTTTGTGGGAAATTCCAGCTCACACAGTTGTCTTTTGTTATTCTTTGCTACTTTTGACTGTGTGCTGTGCTGTTGTTGTAGTTAGTTCAAGTTTGCCATTCTGGCAGGGCAGACGGTCCCTTGAGACCACACACAGCTGGAACCGACGTTGCCTTCCTTCTAGCCTAGGGGTCCTCAGCACCTGCGGACGCCTTCCCTGGTGCCTGCCAAGTGTTTTCAGAAAGCGGGCAAGGCCAGGCGGGGCTTTTACAGAATCATAAGAGTCGGAAGGGACCTCCAGAGTCGTCTAGTCCAACCACCTGCACGATGCAGGGAATTCACAACTACTTCCACCCAAGCTTCTGATCGGCTACACCAGTTTGGTGTAGTGGTGAAGTCTGCGGACTCTCATCTGGGAGAACCAGGTTTGATTCCGCACTCCTCCACTTGCACCTGGCTGGATGACCTTGGGCAAGCCGTAGTTCTCTCAGAGCTGTTCTTGAAAAAGAGCCATTTCTGTCAGAGCTCTCTCAGCCCCACCTGCCTCACAGGGTGCCTGTTGTGGGGAGGTGAAGGGAAAGGATTTTGTAAGCTGCTCTGAGACTCCCTTGGGTAGTGAAGGGCGGGGTAGAAATCCAATATCTTCTTCTTCTCTTTGTAGATTTTTAAAAAAACATTGGTTTGGCAACAACTGCCACCACAACTCTGTATGACTGAACGGAAAGCTGTGTGTACGCAAGAAAATATTTCTTAAAGGGCATGTTCATTTTAAAAAAAGTATTCTGTCAAGAGGACCTGCCTGCCTGCCAAATTGGAGAGTTACTGTCGGAGTTACGTGTTACCTCATTCCCTGGTATTTTGTGGTTGGCTTCGCCTCTTACGGCAGCCATTTTGTGGCTGCACCCACCACACTGTGTCAGAATTTCAAAGATATCTGTATGCTCAAAAAGGTCGGGGAACCCCTGCAATTCTCCCTCTAAGCTGTGGAGTCTTGTGAGCAGAAATTCAGCTTTGTGGTTCAGGTTCAGGCTTCAGTTTATGTGCCTTATTAGCCACAGGCCGTGTTCATCAGCTCCGTAACTCGCATGGTACTGGCTTTGACTCTTCGCATGGGACATATACATACGTCTCCTCTCGAGGCGCTAGTACAATCGATTATATTTGTGTTTCATCCTCGCTCCTACCTCATGATCTTCACTTTAGTGTTGAAGACAGGCCTGAGAGCGAGCATAGTCCATGAAGTCTAACCGCAACCCAAAGAATACACCTGATGGCGTTCGTTTCGGAGAAAGCAGAATTAGATGGTCCTTGCGGCTAAGCCAAAATATTGAGGAGCTTTGTGAGCTACTGGCATTAAAGTTGTGAGCGAGTAATTTGGCTACTGCATAAATTAGTTTGCTCTGGAGCCATCCTTCCTGGGCGAAGACAACAATGTGTGAGCCGGAGGCTAAAAAACTGTGAGCTAGCTCACACCAACTCAGCTTAGAGGGAACACTGGACCCCTGTTCTAGCGTCTCCTCGACTAAAAGCTTACACCTCGGATGTTTCTGTGGTCTTTGCTACAAAGCGTGGAGAATTTCAAAGCAAGTTTTTTAAAAAACACGGTAACTTCAAATGAAGCTTATTGACAATGTAAGTCCAGGGATTTTTTTTTTTAAAGTTCACCTGCAATGAAACTGTAAACAGAGTCTGTTGTTAGCACAGAGTGCACCTTTAGTTAGAAGAATTTAGTCGATTAGAATTAACAACATTCATACAACAGTATTTGTTCATTTTTTAAAGTTTCCCAAAGTATTACAAGAGAGAAGTTGCTCCTTTTGTGATCTTCTGGCTATAAAAGGCTTTAAAAGTCTTTTCATTTGGATTGGGAAGGGAGATTAATCGTAGAACAGGAAGGGAAAAGGCAAAAAAGGCAACTTTAGTGTTTTCCTTTTGAAACGCTGCATTCGTGTCCCACTCCGAATTTCTGCCGCGTCAGCACGTCTCTTTTCATTAAGAAACCTGTTTGTTCCAAAGCAAAACAGCTCGCAAATATTTCCCTTTTAAAATGTTCTTTACAGAAACAAAAGAGCTAAAATATATATATATATATATATATATTTATAAATAAGAGGGCATCAAATCATAAAAACTGACAGTGTCTTGATTTTTTTTTTCCAGCCAGACCTGATAAAAGTCTCAGCGATGCTACAGACTTGTTAAATAAGAACATTATAAAAATTAGCAAGAGAGAAACTTCAGGGCCCAATTATGCCCGTTCAGGTCTGAAACGGTACTAAAATCCCCACCCCTCCGCCCCCCCCAAAAAAACCCAAAAGTGCAAAAGTATACAAGGATAACTGCATAATAATGGCAAAGTTCATCCCAAAACTATTTCCCCAAACATGCCCCGGTTGAAACGGAATTCATTGCTGCCCCACTGTTTCCCTATTTTCGCAAGAACTTGCAATGCAAGTCAAATTTAAAAAAAAAACAAAAAACACCCCACACACGCGCACAATAATTTCCAAACGAAGTCACTTATCGGACAAGCACGAAGCAGAGAGCCACTCCGGAACGCGGCAACGCCAGCCGCTCGGACAGGAAAGTCCTTTTAAGAGTCCCCCGGGAAGAAGAAAGAAGCACACAGATTTCAACACTGCATATGGAAACGGCACACTTCGAGAAGTTCACAACTGGAGGGGAGAGCTGTGCTTCGGTCCCTCCCCCTCCCCTCCTGACAAATTCGCCTTCTGGGTCAACCCCAACCCCCCCAACCGACCCCCGGGGTGGGGGGGCGGGAAGGGGAGAGTTTTGCATGACAGTTTTGTTGTTGCTTTTTGTTGTTGTTGTTGCTTTTTTTTAGAGAGAGAGAGATCCAGTTTGGTGTAGTGGTTAACTGCGCAGACGCTAATCTGGGAGAACCGGGTTTGATTCCCCACTCCTCCACTTGCGCCGTAGTTCTGACAAGAGCTGTCCTTGAATAAGAGCAGTTTCTGTCAGAGCTCTCTCAGCCTCACCTACCTCCCAGGGTGTCTGTTGTGGGGAGGGGAAGGGAAAGGAGTTTGTAAGCCGCTCTGAGACACCTTTGGGTAGTGAAGAGCGGGGTATAAATCCAATCTCTTCTTCTTCTTCTTCTTCTTCTTAAAGTGTGCAAGGGGGAAAAATTATATATATAAATAACTTCTGTCCACTGCAAATCCTCCTTTTTTCCTACGATTTCATAAGGACGATGGGTGACCCAACAGTCTAGAACACTACGGATGTTCTGTGCAAATGCAGACACACCAGCACTTTAGGTCTGTATTCTTTGTGAACGCGGGACCCCTACAGACCTGGGTCGCGGCCTGCTTCGGGGCTGAGGGCATCGTCTACAAAATATAGCAAAAAGGGGCGGGGGGGGAGTTTAAAACAGGGCAAGGTTCTTCCTATGATCTGGGAGGAGAGAGAGAAGGAATCTAAAACTTTGGCGACAGGAGCTCCGGGCATTTTACGCAAACTCTCCCACAAGCCAAAAGTTAAGCACCACCATCTGCAGGGGAAAGTTGAGATTAAATAGGTGGGGGGGGCGGGGAGAGAGAGAGAGAGAGAGAGAGAGAGAGAGAGAGAGAGAGAGAGAACTCTTCCAAGAACCTAACCGTAAACCGAAAAAGTCTCTTGCGTGTTCTGGCTCGGTCCAAAGGAGCCTAGGGCATTTCCAGCTCAGTTCCGCAAACCCCGTAAGCAGAGTCATATTCCCGGTGCCGGAGCTCTTATAGGAGGAAAGGGTTAGTCATGTTTGCAGGCTGTGAGGCGGAGGGGGGGATTCCAGTACTGTGGAGAGGCGCTGCCAGAGGCCCTATGATGCTCACGCCCATTCCCGGGCCCATCCTGGCGAGGGACACCGTTGTGCCCATGGTGGGCACGGGCGCCATCCCCACCGCCATGGGCGCCACGGCTGGGAGAGGTACGGGCTCCACGCCCACCGCCGGCACGGCGTGGAAGGACGGACTGGTGCCCATGACGGGGCTCGACCGCATCTGATTGAGGGTGAGCGGCTGGGGCTGATTCACTTGGAAAGGGTTGATTGGAGCAGGAGCGGCAGGCGCAGCAGCGGCCCCTAGTGGTGAGGAAGGGGAATAAAAAAGAGAGAGAGAGAAAGAGAGAATCCAACTGGTCAGTATTTCCAATCCGAAGGAGAGCCCTGTACAGAATCTCACGGCAGTAACCTTCTCAGCCTCCCCCAAAAGCTACGCTTGTCCAAGCTGACCAAGTTGCGTGAGACAGTAGGCGTCTCTTGCATTGTCCCCTTTCTGTTCTCTGGGCAGGAGCCACAGACCAAAGAAAGGCACGTGGGAAGCAGGGCGTCTCTATGTTTCAACAAGAGCTGCTATCCGAACACCGGGGGGGGGGAGTAGAAAGAAAAAGCCGTCGTCCCGTGGTTGACAGAAGCAAGATACATTCAGGAGGGTTCCCCCCATCTTTAAAACAAAGAGGAGGAGGAGGAGAGGAGATTGGATTTATACCCCGCCCTTCACTCGGAGTTTCAGAGCGGCTCACAAACTCCTTTCCCTTCCCCTCCCCACAACAGGCACCCTGTGAGGCAGGTGGGGCTGAGAGTGCTCTAAGAGAACTGCCCTTTCAAGGACAGCTCTGACAGAAGTATGGCTTGCCCAAGGTCATCCAGCAGGTGCAAGTGGAGGAGTGGGGAATCAAACCTGGTTCTCCCAGATTAGAGTCTGCACACTTAACCACTCCACCAAACTGACTCTCAGGTACACTAAATAAATAAAGTATTAACGTGAACCGCCTTGAACCATGAGGAAAGACGGGATGTAAACATTTTAATTAACAAACAAATAAATCTGAGGTAGGTTCTAGACAATCTATTCCACTGGTTCCCAGAGTGGGCAATACCGCCCCCTCGGAGGCGCTAGAACGATCCAGGTGCAGATCCACAAACTGCATCTTTTTGTCCACTCCTTGAAGGTAGATGTCCCGGGGGGGAGGGGGGGCGCTGAGTAATTTCTTTTTTCTGAAAAGGGTGCGGGTAGGCCAAATATGTTTGGGAACCTCTGATCTATTCAGATCAGCTCTCGCAGGCAAGCGTGGAATATCAGCAGTTGAATCCCTGCTCCGGAAAGAGCATGCATGGATCAGGTTTGTTAACCAGACCACCGATGATTTCTAAAGCCACACTTTTAGCCGGACGAACAGCAGCATCCCTCCCGGTCAAGGGTAAGAGCTATGCCAGAGGAATGTGCGTGGACCGGTGGACATCCGGGAGGACTTCCGGCCACTTTCACATGGCACAGAGGGCCTGCAGTCTGAGAAACAAAATCCCAAAGCTACGCAGGAATGTGCAGAACTCAGGGCACAGTCCTTTGGATCCTGATCCACATTTAACAGCTTTGTTGACTTTATTTATATATAAAAGCTATTTCCAAATACACCAGCCGCTAGGAAAGAGGAAAGAAGAACTTTCCCAGGATATGACGCTTTGGCCTACTGCCAAAACGACAAATTCCTTGTAATATAAACAACACAACTGGGTTTCCGGGGACAGCTTTGGTGACCTCTGCTGGGGGGGGGGGGGGGGGTTCTGTGGCTACTGATAGCAGAGGGGAAGAGCATTTCCTGGTGAATTTGACAAGGCCCTTTGTCAGACACGGCACCAACCCCGAAAACAAGCTTCCATGATTTTAGAAGGGGGGGGGGGCACGCAACCAGGGGACCACGGCATAATGATACAGCCTCTGCTTGTCACACGGAAGGTCCCAGATTCAATCCCTGGCATCTCCAGTTAAAAAGACCAGGCAGGAGGTGACGGGAAAGACCTCTGCCTGAGGTCCTGGAGAGCTGTCAAGAGGGGCCGTGGCTCAGTGGTGGAGCCTCTGCTTGGCATGCAGAAGGTCCCAGGTTCAATCCCCAGCCGCATCTCCAGGTAAAAAGTACCAGGCAGGAGGGGATGGGAAAGACCTCCGCCTGAGACCCTGGAGAGCTGTCAAGAGGGGCCGTGGCTCAGTGGTGGAGCCTCTGCTTGGCATGCAGAAGGTCCCAGGTTCAATCCCCAGCCGCATCTCCAGGTAAAAAGTACCAGGCAGGAGGGGATGGGAAAGACCTCCGCCTGAGACCCTGGAGAGCTGTCAAGAGGGGCCGTGGCTCAGTGGTGGAGCCTCTGCTTGGCATGCAGAAGGTCCCTGGTTCAGTCCCCAGCAGCAACTCCAGTTCAAAGGAAATAACAGCAGGTGGTGGGAAAGACGTCATGCTTGAGCCCTTGGAGAGCTGCACTGGCTGATGAGGAGTCCAGGCCAAGCAGCCTCTGAATCTCCTGGAAAGTTAAATGGCCAGTCCGACTCTCCTCATCTGCTCAGCTTGGCCAGTGAGAACTTTCCAGAAGAAAGAATGAGGACTGTTTTGCATAGAGACCTCTTTAAAATAAATTCACCTCACTTTCTTGGAAAGCCAGTTTGATGTAGTGGTGAAGTGCGCAAACTTTAATCTGGGAGAACCGGGTTTAATTTCCCACTCCTCCACTTGCAGCTGCTGGATGACCTTGGTCAAGCCATAGCTCTGTCAGAGCTGTTCTTGAAAAAGAGCAGTTCTCAAAAGAGCTCTCTCAGCCCCGCCTACCTCACAGGGTGTCTGTTGTGGGGAGGGGGAAGGGAAAGGAGACTGTAAGCTGCTGTGAGACTCCGAGTGAAGGGTGGGGTATAAATCCAATCTCTTCGTCTTCTTCTTGATGCCGCTAAGAGAGAGGTCCATCCTTCACTTCAGCTTCCATTTTCCAAGGCAGTGTTTGCCTCTAGCTAGAGCAGCGGGTGAGTGCGTATGCTGGGGTAGCTCCGGTTCAAATCTGTCTCCAGTTGGCACCTCGCTGGCTACTCTTTCAGCCTCTTTTGCTCTGGCTTTCACACCAGCTGCGGTGTGGCCGTAACAACCTACAGGAAGGCCTCTGGGCCCAGTTCTGTAGACGGGCTCTCTCCCTGATCGTGAACGCCCCTGGCAAGAGGGAGACGGCACTAGGTGGAGCCCAACGGCTTGGCACAACATATCAGTTGACCACCAACTTTTTTTAAAGATCTGCTGTCCCCACCCCGGTTCCAAGAACAAAACCTTTGTTAAGACATACCTGCCGCCAAGAACGGATTCAGTGAAGGGGCAGGTTGTGTCGGCTTTGATATCAACGAATCCAGGTTGACCAAGGCAGCGTTGGGGCCCAAGAAAGACTCCGGGGTTTTCCGTGCGGTGTTCTGTTTATCCAGCGCCGAATTTGAAGGCTGGGACTCAAAGAGATCGGGGCTGGTTGTACCGCTGTTCTGGGCCGACAAGCTGGAAACTGAATCAGCTGGAACGAAACAGGGAAATTCCAAGGATGATAAAGAATTGCTCATGTTCACGTCAGAATAAATCATTCACCTCTCCTCGTTACTTACTGTCAAATTAAAGGCCGCGATCCTAAGCTGGTGTACTTGGAATTCAGCGAGCCTGCTTCCAAGTACATGCGCTTAGGAGAGAGGCAAAAACCTGATAAAGGGATTGGGGGAATTAAGAGCGCAAGAGAATTTCCGATCCGTTCATTTTCATTTTCATTTCCCCAGAAATAATTTAATGGGATCATTTAAAAAGCAGGCGCTGCCGTCTTTACCCAGGTCCAGACGCAAGCCCTACCCTATCTTGCAGAAAATTTTAGGACTCTAGAATTGCAATCACGGGGGTGAAGAGAAAATAAAGTTTCTACAAACTGACCTTGGTATCCTTCTTTAGAATGCTGTTGGATACAGACACGGATTAACTGTCTCTATGGAGAAGACATATCAGAAGCATCAGATATATTTTTTTAACCCTCCCCCTCTCTAATCTATTGCCGTTATAAAACTGCGCATTCACTCACACCTCCCAATCAGAGGTATTGACCCTTTAAAAAAGAAAAGACAGAGAGAGAGAGAGAGAAAGAACCTGACCGGCCTTCAGCCCGATCAAACGAACAGTGTTTTAATAAAATTAATGATCCAGTTGGTCTGAAGCAGTGCAACAAATTCAGAGTCCAGCGGCACCTTTAAGACCAACGATGGTTCATTCAAGGTAGGCGCTTTCGTGTGCAAGGCGCACTTGATCGAATACGTAGAATGGCAACAAAGGTTCAAACTTATAGCCAGATAATTAGCAGCAAATTAACATGCAACATGATGAGGATCAAGATATGCAAAGTGACACTAAATAACAAGTTAACGTTAAAAGGTCAATAAATATGTCAGACTAGCAGATAAATGTCTAAAGGTGTATTTTCTAATTGTGGGAAGCGACTGGGAATCTTCATTCTCTCCTGTCAGGTGGGGGGGGGCACTTAACACTACACCCCCCTCCAAAAAATGCTGCTATGTCAGCAGACATCCTAATATCTCTTGCATACATTCAGTATTCTAATATACTATTATGAAAAAGAAATACACTAAAATACATTTAAAAGACTGAGGATTTATAGTCCTTCTTGTTGAGAATACATATGTGAGGACTGAATGAGTTAGCATATGTAATGGGATAAAAAACCCAATATCCCTGTTGAGTCCTGGGGAGGTTTTTGTTCCAAGTGTTGTAATAAGTTGTCATTCAGCAATTTCCCTTTCCATTCTGTTTCTGAAATTCCTTTGTAATAAAACAGCTACTTTGAGGTCACAAAATAAATGGTTCTAAATACGCAAGTTGAAATCAGTTTCAGGGGGTAGCCATGTTGGTCTGCAGTAGAAGAGCCAGGTTCAAGTCCTGCAGCACCTCAGAGGTGAGCATGATTTTCAGGGCATAAGCTTTCAAACAGAAAGAAGAAGAGACTGGATTTATACCCCACTCTTCACTCGGAGTCTCAGAATGGCTTACAATCTCCTTCCCTTCCTCTCCCCACCACTAAGAGAGCTCTGGGAGAACTGCTCTTGAGAGAACAGCTCCGAAAGAACGTGTGACTGACCCAAGGTCACCCAGCTGACTGCATGTGGAGGAGGAGTGGGGAATCAAACCCGGTTCCCCCAGATTAGAGTCTGCGCTCCTAAGCACTACACTAAACTGGCTTTTCTCATGAGAAAGGGAGCTTTGACGCGCAAAAGCTCATCCCCTGTCACAGATTTTAATACGTCTTTAAGGTGCTCCTGGACTCTATTGCTCTCTTCAGGCAGGGATATAAAGACACCAAGATCTCCATCCCTACTAATATCTGATGAAGGGATCTTTGACTCTCGAAAGCTTATACCCTGAAAATCCTGTTGGTCTCTAAGGAGCCACTGAACTCAAATCTAGGTTGAAATAAAGACTTTTTTTTTTTTTTTAACATTCCACACAAAACGATTTCTGCCATCTCCAAGATATGGGAATCGAGCGTGCATCCGCGCAACCCTGGACTATGCAGATGCCTCTCATCTGAGCGGAGTCACCACAATTTTGGAACGGCAATGGAGATTTCTGCCACCTGAACTTCTGCAGAACCTTGGAGCTGGGGCGGGCATGCCCAAACAACCCTGGGCAAAGATGGCCTCAAGTCCAGTGGAAACTTTGCAGCGACTGAAACGAACCAGAGCCAACCCGCTGCAAGGATCTTGTGTGATCTGGATCTACTTTAACAGCAACTGCACAGGGGTAACTGACTTGTCTCGGCTCGCCTGCTTTTCGAATCCACAGCTCAATAGTCTCCATCTAAATAAAGCTCCATCAAGTTCCAGTTTCTAGGAAACTCTCCACTAAATTACCATTGACTGAATCTCACCGTTTCCAACCTCCAAAGACCAACAGCTGGAAACATTACGTCTTCATTAAATTATCAAAGGACAACAATTTAACCCCCCCCAAATAAATAAAATACTACCGCTCAGGGAACAAGAGGGCTAGAACGCCCTCCAAAAAATATCGGCATTTTACGGATATTCCATTTATAGTAAACAGAACATTTTTTGCTGCCTGAGCTTTGGGTGGGGGAAAAGGACACGCAGCTGAAGTTCTGTATTTCAGTCCGCCACAAGCTCTGGCACGCTACAACTTTGCTTTGAGGCTTATTTCACACGTACCTTGCTTTTTAGACGTCCGAAGTCTGTCAAAGTCGGAAAAGTCGTCTTTAACCGTCCCGTTCAGATTGCTGAAGAGGTCAAAGGATTTGCTTCCTGCAGGGCACAGCAAGAAGGCAGTTATGCCATCGGTGGTATAACGTGGCCAGGGCTAGATCCACAAATCTAAGAGGGAACCGTGTCCTCCCTTTTCCCACCAGCAGCTAAAACACTCCCAGAGCCAGTTTGGTGTAGTGGTTAAGTGCGCGGAATCTAATCTGGGAAAACCAGGTCTGATTCGCCAATCCTCCACTTGCAGCTGCTGGATGACCTTGGGCAAGCCATAGTTCTGTCAGAGCTGTTCCTTCAAGGACTGTTCTCTCAGAGCTCTCTCTCAGCCCCACCTACCTTCACAGGGTGTCTGTTGTGGGGAGGGGGAGGGGAAGAAGAAGAAGAGATTGGATTTATACCCAGCCCTTCACTACCCAAAGGTGTCTCAGAGCGGCTTACAAACTCCTTTCCCTTCCCCTCCCCACAACAGACACCCTGTGAGGTGGGTGGGGCTGAGAGAGTGACAGAAACTGCTCTTTTTCAAGAACAGCTCTTATCAGAACTACGACTTGCCCAAGGTCATCCAGCCAGGTGCAAGTGGAGGAGTAGGGAATCAAACCTGGTTCTCCCAGATTAGAGTCCGAGCACTTCACCACTACACCAAACTGGGAAGGGAAAGGAGTTTGTATGCCGCTCTGAGACTCCAAGTGAAGAGCGGGGTATAAATCCAATCTCTTTTTCTTCTTCTTCTTCTACTAATTCTCTAGGATTAGCAGGACAAAGGGATTTGCCTCCTTTGGAAAGACTGGAAGTCTTTCATTTTTAAAATCTTTCTTACTTCACTAATTAACCAGCTCTTCCTCCATGGAACAGTTCGGGCCATACTGCTTCAATAGCAGAGTTATCCGCGTGAAGTGGGGGCAGGTGTCCAGTGGACATTTCCAGAAGTGGCCTCCTGGACGTGGCACTCCCTCTTGGCATAGTTGCCTGGCACCTTTCTGACACAGGGCAACAGGCTAACTCCACCGTAAACCTTTAAGGGCAATTAAGATCTTTCCGACTGCAACTGTTGATGAACACGGTCCATCACCTATCTTAATCTGGACCGTATTGTTGCTGTTTGATACCTGAGATATTTTACAAGCGCACACAGAAGCAACCTGGAGGATTTTCCTCAGTGGAAAAGTGGGGTGCACAGGATAGTGGTTAGGGTACAGTTGAGGGTCTAGGAGACCCAGGTTCGAATGTGCCACGGTCCAGCCTTTGCCCACTCACATCTGCTCAGCCTCGCCTACTTCACAAGGTCGTTTTGAGGATAAAATGAAGGAGAGGAGAATGAGGTAAGGCTATCTGGGTCCCCTTGTTGGGGAGAAAGACGGCTTGCAGGTGAAGTCGATTAAATTTAATTTAAATCAGATCCCTGGGCTATCACAGGGCTATTGCAACATTTGAAACAAGGTAGTCTGAATTCAGAGCTGTGGTGGCTCAGAGGTCAAGATACTGAGTTGCAGACCGGAAGGTGTGTAGTTCTGCAGTTCGAGACCCGTCTCTGGCCCCAGCCAGCCTAGCAGTTCGAAAGCAAGAAATTGCAAGTCAATAAATAGGTACTGCTTCGGTGGGAAGGGAACAGCATTCCATGCACCTCGGCATTTAGTCATGCCAGCCACATGACCACGGAAACGTCTTCGGACAGCGCTGGCTCTTCGGCTTGGAAGCAGAGATGGGCACCGCCTCCTAGAGTTGGATTCAACTGGCTTTCGAGCAAGGGAAACCTTTACCTTTAAGCCTGAATCCAGACAATTCAAAAGAGAACACAAAAGTCATAGTGCCCCCCCGTGACCTAAGATCCTTGGGGAGATAAACCATGCCTAGAAGCACATCTCTGAGCCTAATGCATTCTGAGCCTCTCCACCCGCTGAAAAGAATGGAAGACCATCAGGTGATTTTGATAACGGCCTACAGCTGAACAAAGTCACCTTTGAATGGAGTAGGCAAAATAAGCTGCTAACAACCGTCGCTCACCAGAAGTGGAAATGGGCTTGTTCACAGAGGTGGGCCCCCACGGGTCAGCGGGGGCTTTGGCCGCCACAGAAGGTGGCTGTGAGGAATGCCAGGGGTCTACATTCTTCGAGAGGGGCTGGGGGGGAGGCAAGGCTGCAGGAGATCCCCAGGGGTCAACGGAGGCGGCTGGCTTGGCACCTGCAGGCAAAAGGAAAGCAGAGACACACAACCCATCGTGGGCGTATACAAGGAAGCCATTCGACACAGTTAAAATGTCCCCGTGTGCATTCCTACGGGGATTATGGACCGGTGATATTGTCTGTACCCCTTTAACTGCTTATTACTTATTTATTTATTAGTTAGATTTCTATCCTGCTCTTCTGCCGAAGCGGCTCAGGGCGGCTTACATACAGTTCTAAAACCAGCAAATGCATAGATAAAATACAATAAAATTCCAAATAAATAAAGTTAAAACCATTAAATGTGGCGGCATCGTATAAAAAAGCGCAAGTGCAGTGCAGCCGATGAAATCGATTCTTACAAAAACGCCTGACGGAAAAGCTCAGTTTCCACGGCCCCGCGGAATTGCTGGAGGTCCCGCAGTGCTCTGATCTCACTGGGGAGCTCGTTCCAGAGCATCGGTGCCACTAGGGAGAACGCCCTGGTCCTAGTCGCCGCCAACCTGGCATCCCTAGGCCCGGGGGGGGGGGGGGGGGGGGGTTTTGGTTTCCGTGCTCTCCGGGGGACATACGGGGAAAGGCGGTTCCTCAGGTAGGCAGGCCCCTGGCCATTAAGGGCTTTAAAGGTCAAAACCAGCACCCTGAAGTGAATCCGGAACGGAATTGGTAGCCAGTGCAATGACTTTAGCACAGGCTGGATGTGCTCCCACATATTATCTTACTTTTTTGGCTTTTCAAGGGGTAGATGGATACAATTCATTCACGGTCATTGACCAACACATAAAACGATGACATTTTGTAACATGGGTAAAAGATGATCACATTAAAATAGGAACAGAATGTTAAGACCAGTTATTAAAAAAACACCATAAAAACCATAATGGTTAAAATTAATAAAACTTAATCTTAATTTTTCCTCTTTTCGGGCTACTATAGATTTTCTAGTTCTTCGGGCAAGCCGTCCGAACCTAACCACCCGATAAGTAACTTCTGCCCCAGCTATCCGATAGCAAATTTCTTAAAAGGCAGGTTCTACAGACTCAATACCATCCACACAACAGCGGCGTATCCTTTCTTCGTCAGGAGTCATTCTATTTCCCTTCCAGGACTGCAGATGGGAGTACATCCCAACGCGTTAGTGTAAACGTTCTTCTGTAGTCCTGATTTAATAAACGGGAAAGGCAAGGCATAGGGATTACTCTGTTATCTGGAGCCACTTTTCAAGGGGGAAGAGACGGATGCAAGAGGAAATTAACCTCAGGTCACTCCATCCATAGGAGGTTTCTCCCCAGATATCAGGAAAGCTCCCGCTAAAGTATGTTTTTACACAAACTACTTGACGTATTTTATTTTGTAAGCCACCCTGAGCTTCACTCCAGGTTCTTCCCCAGAGAAGTCAGTTTTGCTGGTGTTACCCCAAGTTTAGTTTTTCATCTGAAAAGATCACAGCCTACACCTTGCAGGGCTGCAACAAGCTACCAGTGCACTGGTACCTCCGACCCTCAAAGGCACCGAACACTCAGGTGCTGCAGAAAAGATAGATTCAAGTCCAGTAGCACCTGACTTCAATCACCCAGGCTCCCCCGATCCTGTCAGATCTTGGAAACTAAGCAGGGTCGGCCTTGGCTAGTATTTGGAAAGGTGACCTCCAAGGAACACCAGAGGCATGACGCAAAGGCAAACCACTTCTGAAACGTCTCTTGCCTTGAAAACAAGTCTAGCTTGCCACCTGGTGGTGCATAGCACTAAAAGGGCTAGAACTTCAGGCTGCCAGACAATCTTAGGATCTCCTGGCTAGTCTACGCACCATGCCATACGATCATTAATTAATTAGTACCTCGGAAACCAACAAAATAATACTCGGGCTCTCGAGAGTTTATATCCCAGAAATCTTGTTGGTCTCGAAATCTGCCTCCATGGATACGCTCTGAAACTACCAGGCGCTATAAAAAGGTCTGGAAGGGACCCTCTTGTCTTCCCCCCCCCCCTCTCTCTCTCTCTCTCTGTCTGTCTCTCTCTGTCTCTCTCTCTCAGATTCTGCCTCTAACCAGGGAGTGTTTCCACCCCCACCCCCACCCTCACCCCCTCCCCATTTCGTCATGTGCTTTCCCAAACCACCCCCAGCCAAGCACCGACACACGCACTTGTAGATCAACCTAAAGCACCAGCCAGTATTTTTGTTAAACAGAACGTGTGTTTACTAAAACAGCACAACATAAAACAGTTTTTGTTCTGATACCCTGAATAACTTCTAAGTTATTCTTCAGCGGATGCTGGCTTCCATCTAGGTTTCCAGCACTAAGGACAGATGTGGAAAAAGAAATTAGGGCCGCGACTCAAGAACGGCACTGGATGGACATAGGTATGTACGGAGCTGCCTTGTACTGAATTGGTCCAGCAAGGTCAGTATTGCATACTCAGACTGGCAGCAGCTCTCCAGGGTCCCAGGCTGAGGTCTTCCCCGTCACCTGATCCTTTTAATTGGAGAGATCGGGGATTGAACCTGGGATATTCTGCATGCCAAACAGATGGGCTACCACTAGGTTTCCCTTGCTCGAAAGCCAGTCGAATCCGACTCTAGGCTCATCTCCGTTTCCAAGCCGAAGAGCCAGCGCTGTCTGAAGACGTTTCTGTTGTCATGTGGCCACCGTGACTAAACGCCGAGGCGCACGGAACGCTGTTACATTCCCACCAAAGTGGTACCTATTTATCTACTTGCAATTTCTGCTTTCGAACTGCTCGGTTGGCAGGAGGCTCTACCACCAGCTCGGGGTAATAAGGTGACTCTGTTTGCCTCGGGTGCAGCCGATGCAGTTAAGCTGAACTTCTGCTCTTAAAACCTCATTCCCATTTACGAAAGGCACGCCAGCAGGAAAGAAGCGCTGTCGGGATTTCTGAACTGCAGACCTCACAGGTGGCAGGGGTGTGTGTCTGCGTGTGTGTGTGTGTTCCAGCTTCTGCTGTTTCCCAACGACAGGAAACACCGAAATGCTTTTAAGAGAAATGGGCTCCGTTTCCTCCCCCCCCCCCTTTGCCTTTCTATCAATGATGCCATGCAGGAAAATGCTAATCGGCAAGGGCTGCCGTAAATGGAAGTTTCCAGAACAGGCGCTCTATTCACGAGACAGATAACAAAAGACAGAGACAACGGGGAAGGAGAAGCGTGGAGGGCGACACCTTCCTCTGAGGGATCTCTTATTCCCACTCCCACTAAAATGCCACGGCCCCGGCGAAGGAAGAATTTAAAATCTCTGTTCCGCTCTGAGTAGCTCGCTCTTTCTTTCTTTCTTTCTTTCTTTCTTTCTTTCTTTCTTTCTTTCTTTCTTTCTTTCTTTCTTTCTTTCTTTCTTTCTTTTAAACCAGCTTTAAGATACATAAATCTGGGTCCTTCAGAACGATTCTCGGGGCACCCAAAGAGTTTGGCAGCGTAGAACAAGGGGATGGTTATCACCGGCCCAGATGAATGCTGAAAAGGAGGAGAAAACGCCGCAGCTGTGGCGGAGAGCGTGACGCGAGACTCTGGCTTCTTTCTTTCTCTTCACACACAGAGCCGATTTAGTTCGGCCGCACAAGGCGGAACTTCAAGGAGAGCCATCACAGCCTGAGAACCAGGGTTTCCTCGGCCTCTGCCAGCAACAAAGTGCAAGTCACCCTAGGGATTGTGCCACTCCGAGAAGAAATGCACGCCCAGAATTAGCTGTTAAATTGTTGAACTCGGGACACTACTGATGCAGACCCCCAAGTTCATTAGGGTCAGTAGTATCTACTCAGACCGGCAGCAGCCCTCCAGGGTCTCAGGCGGAGGTCTTTCCCATTCCCTCCTGCCTGGTCCTTTTTAACTGGAGATGCTGCGGATTGAACCTGGGACCTCCTGCATGCCAAGCAAAGGCTCTGCCACTGAGCCACAGCCCCTCTTGACAACTCTCCAGAGTCTCAGGCAGAGGTCTTTCCCATCACCTCCTGCTTGGTCCTTTTTAACTGGAGATGCTTCTGGGAATTGAACCTGGGACCTCCTGCAGGCCAAGTAGACGTTCTGCCACTGAGCCACGGCCCCCTCTTTACAGCTCTCTGGGGTCTCAGGTGGAGGTCTTTCCCGTCACCTCCTGCCTGGTCTTTTTAACTGGAGATGCCGGGGAGTCCAGGACTGGACCTGGGACCTTCTACATGCCAAGTAGACGCTCTGCCACTGAGCCACAGCTCCTCTTGACAACTCTCCAGGGTCTCAGGCAGAGGTCTTTCCCACCACCTCCTGCCTGGTTCTTTTTAACTGGAGATGCTGGAAACTGAATCTGGGACCTTCTGCATGCCAAGCAGAGGCTCTGCCACTGAGCCACAGCCCCTCTTGACAGCTCTCAATGGTCTTGGGAGGAGGTCTTTCCCATCACCTTCTGCCTGGTCCTTTTTAACTGGAGATGCCGGGGATTGAACCTGGGACCTCCTGCCTGCCAAGCAGGGGCTCTGCCACTGAGCCACAGCCCCTATTGACAGCTCTCCAGGGTCTCAGGCGGAGGTCTTTCCCATCACCTCCTGCCTGGTTCTTTTTAACTGGAGATGCCGGGGACTGAACCTGGGACCTTCTGCATGCCAAGCAGAGGCTCTGCCACTGAGCCACAGCCCCTCTTTACAGCTCTCCAGGGTCTCAGGCAGAGGTCTTTCCCATCACCTCCTGCCTGGTCCTTTTAACTGGAGATGCCGGGGACTGAACCTGGGACCCTCTGCATGCCAAGCAGATGCTTTACCACTGAGTCACAGCCCCTCCCTAAAGGAAACCTTGAGTCAGACTCTTGGTCTATCAAGAGCAGTATTGTCTACTCAGACTAGCAGTGGCTCTCCAGGGTCAGTCTGAGGTCTTCCACATCACCTACACTTCCCGTGCTTTTCAGCTAGAGATGCCAAGGACTGAACCTTCTGCATGCCAAGCAAAGGCTCCATCAGTAAGCCACAGCTGCTTCCCAACTTAAAATACTAACAGACCCGCCCACCCCGCCAAAAAGACAAGTAGGGAGGCTCTATCTCTGAGCCACAGCCCCCCTATACTGGGGATCCCGCCCCCTCCCCAGGAACTACAGACCTTTACTCGACAATCTTGCGTTTCCAGCCAAAAATTGCCAGCCAAGGAAGCTGTTAATAAACAGCTCCAAGAATCCCTGGGTGAAACAGGTTCCTTCGATTTCAATATGAAGTAGAAACTCCCCTTTCATTGGGGAGGAGGAGAAAAAGGGAGGGGCGTGACCACCTGTCTGTACCAGGGGAGGCAGCAAGCCAGTTTGGTTTAGTGGCTAGCAGCGCGGACTCTAGTCCGGGAGAACCGGGGTTGATTCCCCACTCCTCCTCCACATGCAGCCGGCTGGGTGACCTTGGGTCAGTCACAAGTTCCTTCAGAGCCGTTTTCTCACAAGCAGTTCTCTCAGAGCTCTCTCAGTGGTGGGGAGAGGAAGGGAAGGAGACTGTAAGGCACGCTCTCTCAGCCCCACCTACCTCACAGGCAGTGTTCCCTCTAAGCTGAGATAGTGTGAGCTAGCTCACAGTCTTTTAGCCTCCGGCTCACGCATTTTTGTCTTAGCTCAGGAAGGGTGGGGCTCCAGAGCAAACTAATTTATTCAACAGCCAAATCGCTCGCTCACCACTTTAATGCCAGGAGCTCACAAAGTGGAATTTGTGCTCACAAGACTCCACAGCTTAGAGGGAGCATTGCTCACAGGGTGTCTGTTGTGGGGAGGAGAAGGGAAAGGAGATGGTAAGCCGCTCTGAGACTCCGCCGGGTAGTGAAGGGCCGGGTACAAATCCAATCTCTTCCTCTTTCTCTTCTTAAGACAGAAGAAGGTGGTCTTGGTGGGTATTAGGGGCGGCCAGAAGTCTGGTGGGGTGCACTGTAGCTTTAAAAGGGCCCTGGAGGCGAAAGGTCTCCCAGCAGGCATCACTGGGACCCAGCTTATTTCCCTCCCAGGTCCTCCGCTGCTGGGTCCTTCCCGTCCCAGAGGCTTGGCTTAACCTCTGCCTTCCGCCTCCTGCTCCCACGGTCCTGAGTTCAGGGGACGCGGTGTCACTACTAGTACACGGATGAGCTCTGTTCCTCCTCTCCCTCGCCACCAAGCAAGGCAGTTTCACTCCTGAACGACGGCCTGAAGTTGGCGGCAAATTGCACGAGGACGACAAAGGCAAAGCTTAAGCCTGACAAGGACGGAACTGGTCACTCCCGACCAGGAGTCATTTCCTGCGGGAGCGCACAGGAGCGGAGCTCCGGCAGTAAGGAGCCCAGGGGGGCGGGCACATGCAACAAGCCCCGCCCCCTGCTCCCAGCAGCCCTCAGTCAGAGCAAGAAGCAGCCAGGTGCAGAGCCCCCCCGAGCCCGCCCTCCGGGACCCGCTCTCCCTCCTCTGTGAGGGCAGATCTGCACGTTCCCCCTCCCCATAGCTAGCAATCCAAAACAGTCCAGTGGCACCTTTAAGACCAAGTTTTATTCAGGTACAAGCTCTCCCTCCTCTGTGAAGGCAGATCTGCACATCCCCCCCCCCCAAAATTGCTAGCAATCCAAAACAGTCCAGTGGAGCCTGAGCGGTGGGTGTTGCCTTCTGACACACTTCTGGTGATGTCAGGGGGTGTGGCATATGCAAATAAGTTATACTAATGAGCTCCTACACCTCTTCTTCAACTAAATGACCCCTACTCCCGACAATCCCTAGTTTTGGTGGAAATGGTCTGAACGGAAACTAGCAGACAAGCACCTTGGGAGCACTTCTGGAGCCAGGCCTCCTCCTGGACACCAGAGGTGGAAACACTGGCCAGGATCTGCTTTGGCTACTCTGCCAATTACTCCCCACCCCACGGTCTTGAAAGAATCCGGCTGCCACGACGCACGCCCTGGTAAATGCTCCCTCTAAGCTATGGAGTCTTGTGAGCAAAAATTCTACATTGCGAGCTACCGGCATTAAAGTCGGTGAGCGAGCGATTTGGGCGCTGCATAAATTAGTTTGCTCTGGAGCCATCCCTTCCTGAGCGAAGACAAAAATGTGTGAGACGGAGGCTTAAAAAACTGTGAGCTAGCCCACACTAACTCAGCTTAGAGGGAACACTGGCCCTGGTCGTTTCCCAAAGAGAACTCTTGATTTTCACCAAATCATAAAATCATTTTTAGGGCTTGCTCCCAGAAGAGCTTTCCTAGGACTGCACAGAAGACTGTGTAAGGGGGGGGGAAATTATGAAGCACTGCTTTTAGAGTTGCTTTGTTCCTCATAGAAAAAAGACTCTATTGAAGAGAGCGTGAGAGGGGTGCTCCTTCTTATCCAGAGCTTCATGCGCTTACCGAACGATTGCCAAGGGTCTGAGGTGGTACTGCCCGCTGTACTGCCCGCTGCACGGCCCCCCCAGGGGTCGGTTTTGTTGGCTGCCGCCGGAGGGCCCCACGGTTCTGTTTTCTGGGGAGCCGGGGCCGAGGAGGGCAGGGCGTCCATCAGATCCAACAGAGTCGTGTGCTGCTAAAAACACAGAGGGTTTTTTTTTTAAAAAGAGCTTTGCACAAACATGCCACATTTCATTCTTTTGCACGCCCTTATTTTGATTCTTCCGGCATTTATCCCAACACAGAAAGGATTTTAATGACCTCTCTCTCTGGTCCTTTCCGCAGTTGGATCTCATCCCTGGTTTTATCAGAGTTCAACCCGGGACACCATACCTTGCATTTATCCCTGGTTATAACAGCATGAGAGCCAGTTCAGTGTAGTGCTTCAGTGCGTGGACTCTAGTGAAGGGCGGGGTATAAATCCAATCTCCTCCTCCTCCTCCAGTTTGGTGTAGTGGCTGAGTGCGCGGACTCTAATCTGGGAGAACCGGGTTTGATTCCCCACTCCTCCACTTGCAGCTGCTGAATGACCTTAGGCAAGCCATAGTTCTGTCAGAGCTGCTCTTGAAAAAGAGCAGTTTCTCTCAGAGCTATCTCACCCCATCCACCTCACAGGGTGTCTGTTGTGGGGAGGGGAAGGGACAGGAGTTTGTAAGCTGCTCTGAGACTCCTTCGGGTAGTGAAGGGCGGGGTATAAATCCTATCTCCTCGCTGAGTGCGCGGACTCTAATCTGGGAGAACCGGGTTTGATTCCCCACTCCTCCACTTGCATCTGACTGGATGACCTTGGGCAAGCCGTAGTTCTGACAAGAGCTGTTCTTGAAAAAGAGCAGTTTCTGTCAGAGCTCTCTCGGCCCCACCCACCTCACAGGGTGTCTGTTGTGGGGAGGGAAAGGGAAAGGAGTTTGTAAGCCGCTCTGAGACTCCTTCGGGTAGTGAAGGGCGGGGTATAAATCCAATCTCCTCCTCCTCCTCCAGTTTGGTGTAGTGGTTAAGTGCGCAGACTCTAATCTGGGAGAACCAGGTTTGATCCCCCACTCTCTCTCTTGCTGGATGATCTTGGGCAAGCCATAGTTCTGTCAGAGCTGTCCTTGAAAAAGAGCCGTTTCTCTCAGAGCTCTCTCAGCCCCACCCACCTCACAGGGTGTCTGTCGTGGGGAAGGGAAGGGAAAGGAGATTGTCAGCCGCTCTGAGACTCCTTCAGGTAGTGAAGGGCGGGGTATAAATCCAATCTCCTCCTCCTCCAGTTTGGTGTAGTGGTTAAGTGCGTGGACTCTAATCTGGGAGAACCGGGTTTGATCCCCCACTCCTCCACTTGCACCTGCTGGATGACCTTGGGCAAGCCGTAGTTCTCTCAGAGCTGTCCTTGAAAAGGAGCAGTTTCTGTCAGAGCTCTCCCAGCCCCACCCGCCTCACAGGGTGTCTGTTATGGGGAGGGGAAGGGAAAGGAGATTGTCAGTCGCTCTGAGATTCCTTTGGATAGTGAAGGGTGGGGGTATAAATCTAATCTCTTCTCCTCCTTCTTTTATCCTGGGACAAGGGTGGGACGAAACTGGGGTGACCTCAATGTAATGTGGAAACAAAAAATACCCAGAGATAATTACAGGGGTGAACTCGTGTTTAGTGTAGAATGTAAGTTCGAGGACAAGGCTAAACCAGGATTTAAGGTCTAGTGTGGAAAGAACTTCTCTCTCTCTCTCTCACACACACACACACACACACACACACACACACACCAGGGGTATCCCAAGAATGCAATAATCCTGAAGCATGTCTCTAGTGCAAACTCACTTTCTCTGCAAAAATGGGATCCCCCCACCCCCGCCCACCCCTGGCCAGGGCCTACCTCTTTCTTTTTGGGAATTTTCACTGTATCTCTGCGACTCTCCTCCAAAGCCATCTGCAATCTCAGATCATCGCCACGTCGAAGGCGTTCCTCCTGGCAAAATGTCAGGCAACCATTACCACTTGTTACCTACTTCAAACTAAATGACCGTTTGTTTTTGTAAAGGTCGATGGAGCTGGGCGTGTTTCACAATAAAGGGGGGAGGCCAGTTCCTTCCAAGGAGACCTCGATATTTAATTTCTGAAAACACTCCAAAAGTCTCGAGGTCATCCCCGTCGTCTGCGAGATCCCTTTTCTAGGTCCAGAAACAAAAGCAGAACCTTGACGAGGCAACTGGAACGGAACCCAAGTTACCCATGGAGCTGCAGAATAATTACCGAGCATAAACACTGGAATCCACTCACAGTTTAAAAAAATGTAAAACTTATGTAGAAACAGTTGCAGCGCAACAAGAAGTCCCGTTCAGGAAATGCCTTCTGAGCATCTTGGCTCGGCAATGAAAACAAGCGGAAAGAGAGCAGGCGGATCTCATTTCCGAAGGACTTTACAGAGTGTGGGGTGCCAACACCAAGAAAGCCCTGCCTGACATAAAACGAGGCCTCCCTGCAAATGTACAAAGATGAGTCAAAATACTTCCCCCACACCCAGTTTCACAGCTTCCGACACTTTGCCCCAAACAGCCTTTGCTTTCTGACATATCCCACTTCAGTAGCAGGACTTTCTGCTCAGAGAGTTTTTCTTTCTTATTTACAGAGGACACAAAACCCACCAGCCTCCCAGAGGTAACGTTTGACTGCCCAGACCAAAAACCAGACCGGCACAGTAAACCCATTGTCCTGCACTGTAAACTGAGCTTCTTCTTTCAGACAAGTGGTTTCGTTATTTCCATACAGACTATGTTCTCTCTCTCACATGCTCACACACACAAACAGGGAGAGGGAGCTGTTTTGCAAGACGGCCGTCCTAATTCAATAACCCAAGGTGTGAAAACTGCTCATTGCCACATCGGGCAATCATCCCACAACAGAAGCCAGGGAGGTGGCTTCTCACATATGCCTGTCACATGAGCACGGAATTCCTTAATAAGAGGAGAAACCACCTAGTCCCAGATGGTTCCTCCTCCCCCCTCCCCGCCCACCCGGGGTGGGTGTCTTAAGGCAGGCCGTGGTGAACGGTAGCCTGCAAAGGAACTAACCTGCTCCGCAACCTCTCTGCTCATAGCCAGGGCAAGCTGCAACTGGAGTTCTTCCTCCCCGCTCGTCTGCGGCCGCGCCTGCTCCAGTTCGGAAGACACTCGAGGCGAGGTGGCTGTGGACGAAAGCAGAGAGAGAGAGAGAGAGAGAGGGGGGGGGGGCACAATCATGAACGTGTGCATTTAACTGCAGCTGGCAAGTCGGCGTTGTCAAACCCACATTCTCCCCTTTTTAATAGCCCTTCTTCAAAACTAGCTTGTTCTAAACTAGCAGCAGGACTGAGAAGTTGATGTTTCCTGTTTGACGCAACTGTACGTGCACGGCTCCCGGGGAGGTTGGGAGCCCGAACCACAAGCGAAGAGGTTGGGGCGATTCTGATATGGGAGGAATCTGGACGTCGATCCAGCAACTTCAGCATGTAGCATTACATTTATTTAGTTAGATCGTTTAAACTCCACCTTTCTCCCTAAAGGGGAGAAACAACAACAACAACTCTGAGACTGGCCCCTGTGTGAGACGAGATGCCGGACTAGATGGACCCTCACTGGTCTGATCCAGCAGGGCTCTTCTGAGGTTCTTATGAGGGGAAGGCCTCGGCCTCTATGCCCTGTTGCTGGCCCTCCAGAGGAACTGGTTGGCCACTGTGTGAGAGGGGATGCTGGACTAGATGGACCCTCACTGGTCTGATCCAGCAGGGCTCTTCTGAGGTTCTTATCAGGGGAAGGCCTCGGCCTCTATGCCCTGTTGTTGGCCCTCCAGAGGAACTGGTTGGCCACTGTGTGAGACAAGATGCTGGACTAGATGGGCCCTCACTGGTCTGGTCCAGCAGGGCTCTTCTGAGGTTCTTATCAGGGGAAGGTCTCGGCCTCTCTGCCCTGTTGCTGGCCCTCCGGAGGAACTGGTTGGCCACTGTGTGAGACAGGATGCTGGACTGGATGGACCCTCCTTGGTCTGATCCAGCAGGGCTCTTCTGGTGTTTGTATCAAGGAAAGACCTCGGCCTCTGTGCCCTGTTGTTGACCATCAGAGGAACTGGTTGCCCACTGGGTGAGACGGGATGCTGGACTAGATGGACCCTCACTGGTCTGATCCAGCAGGACTCTTCTGGTGTTTGTACCAAGACCTCGACCTCCATGCCCTGTTGTTGGCCCTCCAAAGGAACTCTGTGTGAGGCAGGATGCTGGGCTGGATGGACCCCTCACTGGTCTGATCCAGCAGGGCTCTTATCCGATCCAGTAGCACCTTAAAGAACAAATAAGATTTCCAGGGCATAAGCTTTAGAGTGTCAATCCTGGGAATCCGGTTGGTCTTCTAAGGTGCTCCTGGACTTAGATTTAGGTCTCCTATCGCAGACTAGGGATGGGCATGAACCCACAAATGAACCCCAGTTCGAGCACGAACCAGGCCTGTTTGTGGTTTGCAAACCAGGGGTTCAAGAGAACTGCCTCCCACAATCCGCCCACAAACCTCCATGGAGGTTCGTGGGAGGGTTTGTGCAGGCGCCGACGACATTTAAATGCCTTCAGAGCTTACTTCCAGGTTGGCGGCCTGACCCCAGTGAGCTCCGAAGGCATTTAAATCCCTCTGGAGCCCACCTCCAGGTTAGGCCACCCCAACTGAGCTCACTCTCGGAGCTTAGTCGGGTCGGCCTGACCCGGAGGAGGGCTCCAGAGGGATTTAAATGCCTTCGGAGCTCACTTCCAGAGGGGACTACGACCCCACGAACTTCCCCGAAGCATGAACTGGTTCGTGCAGTGGACAAGTTCGTAGAAGTTCATGGTTCAGTGGTTCGCAAAAACCCAGAACCACAAACCTCCATTTTGTTCGCGGCTACCCCTACTGCTGACCAATACAAAGACCCACGTGAAACAAATCTTCAAAATGTACTCAAGGCCATTTATGGTTTGGTTTGTTTTCAAAGTGACAGACAACCCTCAGTTGCCGGCTACCTAGTCACAAACGGCTTCAACATCATTCTGCAAGGATGTTTATGCTATACAACCCCCCACATCCTTTTTGCACTAAGCATTACTTTCTTTTTCTTAAACATTATCTTTATTAGAATGTTAGCAAATTTACTAGAACAAAATATCCCTTATCAACACAACATCTTATTGCAGATACGTTCCAATTTTTCACAAAGTATTAACTTTCCATTTTCTTATCTTATTTGTCATAACCAAACAATTATATACTGCTATATTTACATATATCTATTATATCCAAATTAATCACCATCAGCTAAATTCAACTATTCTTCCCTACCGTCTTTCCTTTAACCATCTATAAAATTTTGGCCAATATTTATCAAATTTTTCAAAACCTTTTTCCTGTAGAAAAAAAGTTAATTTCTCCATCTCCGCCACCTCTAACAGTCTCGAGATCACTTCTGCCCTAAGCATGACTTCCAATGCCTTGCCACACGGGAAAGATTTGCTAACAGAAGTGGAATCCAGACTATACCACTTTATCATCATCCCTTCTGTGTTATTCGAGCCCAGTTAGCGCCTTAGAGACCATCAAGATTTTTGACGTATGAGCTTTCAAGTCAAGACTCTCAAAAACTCATGCCCCGAAAATCTTTGTGGTCCCTGAGGTGCTGCTGGACTCGAATTCAGCTGTTCTTACTACAGAACAACAGGGCCGCCCTCTGAAATTCCCTTCTGCTTCGCTGGAAGGCTGATTTTATTCTTCTTCTTTGCTACCTAAACCTTTGTCAAACAGCTTGCAGCCGTCGTGTCAAAGTCATTTATTACAAGGGCCGGAGCTGACATAAACGTCACTTTGTCGGGCCGGCCCATGTGCGCCATAAAACGTAATGCCAGGTACCAGAGATAGAAATGGTATAAAGGACAGCGGCTGGTAAGCTCCGAGTTGGTGTGTCCTCACTGCAAGGCCCCCTGGGCTGGGAGAGGGGTGCAAAGGAAAACCCACCTGGGCGGACCGGAGAGGTTGGGGTGCAGCGCTGGGCAGATGCTCCCATGATGCTTGACTGCTGCAGACGAGGTTGTTCTGCCGTGCTGAAGCCACAATGGAGTGGCCCCGCCCACTCCCCCCAGCACTCCCTCCCTTGCAGCAGTTGCTTGTGGGCTGCATAAGAGCCCTTTCCGGCCCCCGGGCCTTATGTTTGACACCTCTGGCTTGCAGGGTGCAATTCTTGAGCTGAGCACTGAAACAAAACTTAATCCTTTGCTGTTTCCTACAATGGCCAGCATCGACTTTGGGGAAAAGGGGTACAATTCTATACACACCGGTGTTCCCTCTAAGCTGAGTTAATGTGAGCTAGCTCACAGCTTTTTAGCCTCTGGCTCACACTTTTTTTTCCCTCTGCTCAGGAAGGACAAACTGATTTATGCAGCAGCCAAATTACTTACTTACAACTTTAATGCCAGTAGCTCACAAAGTAGAATTTTCGCCCACAAGACTCCACAGCTTAGAGGGAGAGCATTGATACACACTATATGAACTTGTTACTTGCTTCTAAGTAAACATACACAGGCTTGTGCCATAAAACCACACAACTGAGATGTTACTGCAACTCAAGTTTTCAGCAAAGCTATTTGGTCACGTTTCCTTTTAAATGAACCCCCCTTCATTTAAAGTAATGGCTCTGGTTTTTGTTTTTTTAAAAAGATACTTCCTAAAGTGAACATGTTTTCATTCAGGGGTTGTTTTTTTTGGGGGGGGGGGGGGATAAAAATGCATCTAACCCTCTGCCATGTCCCACCAATCTCATTTTGGCACGAGATTCAGGTCCCTGAATAAAGCTAGTGTTGCCATTGATCTCCTGCCCCCCCCCCCCTTAAAATCCTCCAGCTATAACGGTAGTATCAGCAAAACGCTTTGTGTGCCAGGATCCAGCGTAAAAGGGATTGCCTTCGCAATACTGCCAAACAATGCAACTTTTATCTCACAGTGCATGACAGTTAACTCAGATGCTTATGTAAGATGGTACTGGATAGATCTGATTTTGACCTCCCAAGCCCTCCTTTGTTTCTGTTGTGAGATATTTTATTTTAAAAAGGGGAGGAAAAAAAAGATCTGGGATTCACAAACCACAGGGGAATCACTGAGGGAGATGTCTGCTGTGACTAAAACCCCGTTGCATGGTTTTTACTCTAGCCGAAGGCTGGCTGCAAAGAACGAAACATTCCCAGCTCCCAGTAATCGCTGGAGTGGGATCTCAGCTCTTCCCATCTGAACCTATCTATGACTTCGTATACATTTTGAAAAGAGCTAGATTCGAGCCCGGTAGCATCTTAGAGACCAGCAAGATTTTGGGGGCATTAGTTTCCAGGAGAAGGGAGCTTTGATGTTGTGGTTAGGAGTGCGGACTCTAATCTGGGAGAACCAGGTTTGATTTCCCCACGCCTCCACTCGCAGCTGCTGGATGACCTTGGGCAAGCCATAGTTCTGTCAGAGTTGTTCTTGAAAAAGAGCAGTTTCTCTCAGAGCTCTCTCAGCCCCACCTACCTCCCAAGAGTGTCTCTTGTGGGGAGGGGGAGGGAAAGGAGTTTGTGAGCCGCTCTGAGGCTCCTTTGGGTAGTGAAGGACGGGGTATAAATCCAATCTCTTCTTCTTCTTCTTCTACTACTGCAGGCCAACACAGTTACCCTCCTGCAAACTATTTTATCCAGACGGTGTTCTGCGAATTGCACTGGCTACCAATGGAGTCCCGGATCCACTTCAAGGTGTTGGGTGTTGACCACCTCTCCCACATGTGCCCCAGAGAAATGTCCGCTGGTTGTCCTTGGACCTAAAGATGCCCGCCTAGCCTCCGTTTTCGGTCCTGGCCCCAGCCTGGTGGACTCCCGGCTGAGATCTGGGCCCTGCGAAACGTGTTGCAATTGTGCGGGGCCTGTAAAACGGAGCTGTTCCACCAGGCCTTCGGTTCAGGCGGCGGGCATCTACCAGCTGGCCTCCCTACGGCGGCTACAGGAGACCACCATGGCTTAGCATCGGACCACTTATTTTCCTGGCTGTAGTAACGGGAATTGCATTGCATTGCACTGCCCCACTTTAAGTATTTTAAATACTTTAATCTTTAATCTGGTTTTATCATTTGTATTTATTGTATTAATATAGACTGTATTTATTGCTGTAAGCTGCCCTGAGC